CCCCCCCCCCCCCCCCCCCCCCCCCCCCGCGACCCTCAAGAGGATGAAGCAGTTAGAAGATGAATGAATTAATGAATATTAACTTGACCTTCAAGGGAGGGCGAGGCGCCCCCCTCATATAATAGTAGGGGAAACAACATGTCCTCACCTGGTCAATTCTAGCTACCACAAGCAAACCTCTCCTTCCCCTACAAATTACACTAGCTCCCCCTAGTGGCTAGGGGGGCTTCCTACTTACTGCGCTGATGATGACATGGAGGCTTCCTCTATTAAAATGTGCTTGATGAACGCATGCTCTTTGGCAAACAAGGCTCACGTACTAGACTACTTGTTTACAAAGGAAAATCTGGCTTTCTTGTTCCTGATTAAAATCAGGCAACAGAATATGGATTTTATCCATTTAAATGAGCTGTGACCTATGGATTTTTATTTTATTCGGACTCTGCATCTGTCAAGCTGGGGCGGAGGACTTGCAGTGGTCTGCAAAAATCGATTTTCTTGTCCCTTGGTGAGCACAGAACCTTTTACTATTTTTTTTTTTTTTTACTACAATTGAAACAACAACTCAAGTAGGTGAGCTGAAGTTTAGTGTGTTTTAATTTATTGACCTCCTGGGCCAGCAAGTCAGTTATCTGAGTTTACTGCCTTTCTGACTTCTATATTTAAGCTGGACAAAGTGTTATTAGTTGGTAATTTTGACCTGCATATTAATGACACCACAAATACAATAATAAAACAATATCAGTAATATTACTGTTTTTTTTTGTTTTTTTTTTACATTTTAAGCAGCAATTTCTGGCACCACTCTCTTGAGTGGAAATATCTTAGACCTTGTTTTTTTCTGTTTTGCTTTTCTTCAGGTCTAGATATTGATTACATCCATTGTGAGGATATACTAAATTACTGACTCTTTGCACCCTAAAAGAACATTGCATTTCCTTATTATTACTCAGAGTGCAGCTGATCAGTTCCCTGTACACTTTTACTTTGATATTAATACAAATCTTAACTATGTAGAGTTTCAAATTCAGTCTATAAATGAGCATAGTTCCACTAGGGCTATCGACAACACTTCTCCATGGATGAAAGATGCTGTCTGCTGCCTGACAGAGAAATGTATCAGGTCTGAATGACAATGGAAAGCCACTGGGCTAGAAGTGCAACATTGTTTCACCACCATCTTTCTGCTGATGACTATATACCTTCCTGTTGATAATGTAATGGCCAATAGGTCCAGTGTTGGGGAGTAAGTAGTTACATGCAATAGTTATATATTTCAGTTACAAAATAAATGTAATTGCAAACCATTACAGTTACCAAGAAAAATATAATAAAATGAAATAAATAATATATGCTCTCAGTCTGCAGGCAATCCAGAATCCTGTTGCAACACTACTCGCTGGGTCAAATAGACTAGCTCCCTGTTGCATATAGGATTCAGTTCAAAATTCTCATTCTTACTTACAAAGCATTACGTGGTCAGGCTCCTGCTTATGTGGCTGAACTGCTTCACCCATTATCTACAGGTCCTCCTCTTAGGTTGAATATCTTATTTGCTATCTGACCCTTGCACACACCTTAAGACCAAGGGTGATTAAGTGTTTCATGCCATAGCACCTAAATTATGGAATTCTCTGCCCACATCCTTAGAGTCTGCTGACTCTGTCGTTTCTTTTAAAAGCCAGCTAAAGACACATCTGTTCAGACAGGTGTTTGGGTAACCTGTAAGCACTAGGTCTGCATTTAATTCATATTTTGTGTATTCTTGTAGTGTATTGTGTTTTTTCATTATGTATTGTGTAATTAGTTTGCACTTTTACTTTTATTTTATTTGGGTAGTCACTCTATCTTTTATGTTCTTGTATGTTGTTTAATGCTTATTTATAGCACTTTGTGACTTATGTCTGTAAAAAGCGCAATACAAAAACATTTTACTTCTTTACAATATTATTTATTTGTAACTGTTATATACAGGGAATACCATGGTACTTTGATGACCCTGATGTGTCTATATCTCAGTGCCTCTATACTATTACATTGAAACTTTACTTTATCCAGATATTCTGTATTTCCCTAAGTGACAAAACATAATGCATTCGGCAAAGCATCACCTACTGTACCACATGCTTAAACTCTGTGCACCATAGTTGCAGGTAGTTGTTGCACTATAGAAGCAGATGCATGGTATATGGTGTGTGCATGACTAACACATGGTCGGTGTATTTTAGAGCAAATAATTGACAATCGTGAAAATACAGGAGATTATAAAGTAAAATTTGGGATCCATTTTGTAATTGTTTGGTTACAGACACTGGGCCTATCCTAGCAAGGTGCAAGCCTCAGTGGAGCTCTGATGGAATGATAATAGATAATACATGAATTTTTAATTTGGGGGTAATTCTACCTACAACTGCACCAACGGTACTAAAGCAACTTATGATTTATTGTGTGACTGTTTTGCAATATTCCCCAATGATCAAAATTCCGATTTTACCAATACTAATTTCAGGCATGTTGTACTGTATTTTAAACAACTACTCGAGCATCAATACATCAAAATCCCTGTTTTAAAGTTGAATTGAAAACTAAAATTGTCTAATTTCTCACCCTGAACAGACCCATCTATTCCAGACTCTCCTGAACCAACAACCACTGGCTATGTGAAAGTATTTAATGACTCTATCAAGATTGTTGCTCAAAAAATGAGCTGGGATGCAGCTAAAAAGCACTGTGAAGGTGATGGTGCCAAACTGACTAACCTGCGAAATGAGTGGGCCCGAGTCTTTATTCAGCTGATGGTTTTAAATCTCAAAGCTCCTGTGTGGATTGGACTGAATACAATGGAGGTAAGGTGTCAAAATGAAGATTCTTACCCTAGACATTGTTTTTTGTAACTGTTTAAATAAAGTTAGTAACACAGTGACAGAAAACATTTAGCAGACTCCCAGCATGGAGAGCGTCAACTCTCACAGATTATGAATTTCCTGGAAAATAAAACCGCATAACTTTATTGACTTAATGATCCTGACTGCAGTTTCACCAATATGTTCTTTCAGACTGGCGGATATTACAGATATATTGATGGCTGGCATCTCACCTCAACCAACTGGCAGAGAGGGGAACCAGAAAGAGATCGACCATGTGCGTTCGTGAGAGAGAATGGAGAGTGGAAGTCTGCTGACTGCAGCAGGAAGATGAGCAGCATTTGCATGAAGTCTACAGGTAAGGCTCCTGTAATAAACCCATGTGTGACTCATCCTAATGTTATCCTGTTAATGGCGGCGCACATCCTGCCTTTACCTGTTTGGAACATGGTTACAATTGTTAACATCATATTTTGTTTTAGATGGGACATGCTTTCTTGTTCTACAATATTGTCAACTGGTGCTGACTTTAGCTGAATTTAAAAGCTTGTACTATACAGTAATTAGGTGATCAATTGCCATCAGTATCTCTCTCATTCCCAGATGTGCCACCAAGAGAGCTGAGTGAGCCAAGTGATTTCCCGGGACTTTGCCCTGAAAACCCAGAAGCATCCAGATATTCATCTCCGTATGTGTGGCTACCATTTAGGGCTTATTGTTACCTCTTTATCACAAAAACCGTTCAGTGGGCAGATGCAGCTACTACCTGTGCAATATATGGTAAGGATTTCCTAAGGTTGGTTTCATACATTTTCTTAATCACACAGCTGTGTTTAGCTTTTACTGAAGACTGTTTTTTCTTTGTTTGTTTGTCAAGGTGGAACTCTAACAAGCATTGAGGGTCCTCTCGAGCAAGCATTCATTTGGAGCAATATTCAAATATTTGGAGGCGGCAACTATAATTACTGGATAGGCTTATATAAAACTCACAGAGGTACAGTCACATTGCCTTATATTTCATAAAAAAGAAACATGAACCTACACTTGAACACATAGAAGAAAAATTATCTTTATAAATCGGAAGCTCTGAAACACAGATGTTACAAAATTACTGTAGCTTAATTATTTTTTTCCTGCTGAATCAGGAAGTTAAAGAAATAGTAACTACATCTGGTCAACAACAAATGGATAATATACATACACACATAGAAGCAGCATTATAGAAGCACATTGGAAACTTAAATGTTGCAAAATCTTGTCTCCATTAACACTGATCCTTTCTCTAGAGCACAAACTTCTTGTGTTTATTTGAATGTAAGAAATGATTTAGCTGTTACAAACAGTAACATTACAGGGAGAAAAAATATTGATTTTCTTTTTTTCCCAAGGCATGTGGCGGTGGTTGGATAACTCTGCTATGGTCTACACTAACTGGTATGAGGATCAAAGCAAAAGCGAAGGTCATGGACTGATTGATATTCAAGATGGGACATGGTCAGCAACTGACCGTCGTGGTGACCGACCTTTTGTTTGCAAAGCACCCAAAGGTGAGATCATCACACGTAATAGGTCAAAGTTTGAATCAATGTCTTAACAATAACAGTATGTAACATTTATAGTGTTAAAACAACAAATTAGATAAAAATATAAATGGCCAATAAATTAAACAGAAATGATACACCCTTATGTTCATCTTTCTAGTATTAAAAGAAGCTCCACTAACAACTGGTAAGTACCACCTTGATACTTTTTATTTGCCTGATAATTATACATTTCTTCTTCTGGCTGATAATCTATGTGTTGAATCTGTACAGTAAATCCTACGGTGGAGCCTCAAACCCAAGCCCACACCATTTTGGCAGTTGTGCTGGTCATTATTGCAATCGCCATAGGGACAGTCATCGCCTTATTTCTCTTCAAGAAATCTTGTCACCGCTAACCCAACCCTGAAAAGTTATCTAGCGAAGACGATTTCACTCTTTTTCAACACTGAGCGGTCCCAGGCTGGTCTGGTCGACACCGTTAAACGTGAAGCAAATGCAGAAGAGGAGAACCCTGCACCTGTTCTAACTGTAATGTAAATGCCAGCAGAATCTACTGGGGCATACAAGAATTTCTTTTTTTTTTTTTTTTTTTGAAATGAGAGCTGTTTCAATGTAGCTGGCAAGAACTGGCTTTCATGAACAAAACATTGTAAGATGTTGGATGTCTCATTTGACATACAAATCTCCTCTTGTCCTGAATAATGTTTGATGTATATTCTATGACTAAGTGATTTAAGACATTGATTCATACTATATTTTACTTTACAGTACTATGCTTGCTAGGATTGTGAAATTTCTACCAGACACTGGACAAGGCAAAATTAATACATGTTCCTACTGGACCACACCATGCTTTTCATCATCCTTGAAGCTATAGATGACATTTTATCTGTCTAGAAATCCAGGTGACTCGTAAGATATGTCTTGTAAATGAAAATTAAAACAAATGTATTAAAAGACACTGTAAAACCACAACCCATGGGTATCTACACTGATTGTTGTTTGTACTCTGGTATTAGCTCTGTTCGGGAGACAGAAGTATTTCAATCTTTTGCTTGCTCCAAATATTACTTCATTTTTCCAATGGATTTACTACCACATGACTAAAAAATAGAAGATTAAATGACAAAATAAGGAAGCCCAAGTCAGCAAAAGTGTGAAGATCTTTACATTTTATTTAGAAGCTGCTGGTCAAAGGTTGGTTCATTTGGACTTAAACAGTAGGTTCTGCCTGTTGCTGTGTAGGGCTCCAATTATGTCAGAACATCACCAAAATCAACCACAAGTTACTCCCAGAAAAACAATGACTCAAGTAAAAGTTAAAATTACCATTTCAGAAACCTACTCAAGTAAAAGTAAAAACCTTGTTGATAAATCACTCCAAGTACAAGTTACTTCCCATGCAGTATATGCAGTAGAGGTGCTTTGCTGTCCACCATACAAACAATCCCCACCAGGGTTTCTCCAAGAAATATTGTTAGGCCAGGTGGTTAGGCTAGCACAGCGTGGGCCAGCAACAGTTTGTTCTTGTGTTATCAATGTAGCTAAGTCAAATAGTATTTGTGGTCTCATATGCATACTGAATATGATGATATGATAATATGCATGGCAGAAAACAGTAAGAGCAGACGAGTTTTAATGAAGGTATAAATGGCAAATGTAGTAAAGTAAGACGTAGATTAATAGCTCAAAAAAATATACTCGAGTAAAGAGTACAAGAACAGTTTAAAAACGTGGACCATGAAAAGCACTCAAAAATATACTCAGGTGCGTTACTTGTAATGTATTACTACTCACCCCTGGAAACAAATGGGACCATTTGTAACATATTATCCCATAATTTCTTGTAGTGAGACCATTTTTTGAAAGTTGACTAACTGTATAGAAGTGCCTACTATGACCTTTAGGATAATCTGAGGCTCACAAAAATTTTTGACTAAGTTGTGGCCAAGAATATATAAAAAGTAGCCAGCTGCAAAAGTTTTAATATCTATGTGTATGGCTGGCATCCAATGCTTGTGGAAAACCATGACCTCATTGCATTCACCAGACCAACATTGGTTATCTTATACAGTATCATTTCCTCTAGCACTACTCTCATCTAAAAATACAAACCCACTAATCCTACACGTTGGCTTTCAATATCATACACCACAGGAACAGGGCACCTGCAGCGGGAAAAAAAAAAAGTTTGTTTTGTCACAGACAATGAGACGATTCCAAATTACAAATGATTAAAACGTTATATTAATTTTTTCTGAGTTTGAAAACGCCACTGACACCAAGGACTGTCTGGCAAAGGAAACTAATCCTCCTGATGAAAGGACAACTTCTTGATTTCTTAATGGTGCTGGAGAATCAGGTCGTTCTACATGACATCAAGGCCTATTCAGATGCTATGGGTCTGCTACATGCACTGAACACTGACTACCATGGGGCCTGTCAGAACTGAGGAGTAGATTTCAAGACTACTATATGGGTTTGAGGTCCTCAAAGTCGGTGAAATTTAGATTTTTTTTGTTGTACATGATATACATACATATACATATATATATTTTTTACTTACTCACATCTAAGTTGTATTTTTGTTTTTTTAAATTTTTTTTTAACATAGCAAAGAAAGCCACATTATTCTATCCTAACCAAGCTATGCTACATGTAAGTTAACTAGCTTCCTTAAAGGGAAACTTTGCCAATTTCAACCCAGTCTGTGTCATCGCAGTGTGTGCCCAGATGACAGAGGACGGGCAGACAGAAGAAACTTACAGTGAAAAATCCACAGTTCTCACCAAGGACATTCATTTGAATGAAATTTACAGTGAATATTAAAATCTTTAAAATGTTGTCAGCAGAAAAAGAATCAGTTCTTTGTTGTTTGGACCAATCATTACAATCTATATACAAGTGATGAATTAAGAGTTTTAGGTATAAATGTTTTTGTTTTGTTTTTTTTTTCTTACTTTTCTAGGCCAATAAATATATACAAGGGTCGACTAAAACTCTGATCTGCTTGCTTAGGGGACCAAGGGAAAAATATTACATTGGACACTGATTAAATAATTAAACCACTTAACTGATAATTGATATATTATTGACATTCCTGTCTTAGAGAGGCAAGAGATGTACTTGGAGGAGGCCAGTAAAATTTCACAACTCAGCAAGGATTACTGCACCCCCAATTCGAATTTGCTGTTGCTCCATTGCTTTGCCCACTAAGCAATTTGTACCAGCACATTTCACCTGTTCTGTTTTTGACCTCTTACTCAACACCAGTGTCCCTCAGCTAACTTCTTAAATTCACAGAGACCACTTCCTCTTTGAACATAGCATTCTTTTCAAAATGGCACACATCCACTTTTCCCATCAACTTTATCTGTCCCAACAAATCACACTGTCTATAACTTTATACTAATTTACTCAACATAATGGAAAACCTTTTACATTACAGATGTGATAATCATCAAATGGATACTTAGATACGTGTGCTTAAGTCAGAATTTAAACACTGAATTGCTTCTTTTTTTTTTTTTTTTTTTTTTCTACTTGTCTGCATTGGTCTTCATAGCTTAGCGCCACTAAAGGGTGTAAGCTTCTTGTGAAGATTGATGCACTGTTAATCTTGCAGTCAAGTATTTTATACCCATAATGAGTGGTTGTGACCGTCACCCACCCTCCCTGGAGACTAGCCTAACAGCCTTTATTGGGAAAACTTCCTAATATGAGCCAGAGAGGGCCGTGATACACCAAAGTGTGTCAAGGGGAAAGTAAGGAAACAAGCAAGGGGGAGGGGGCAGGTGCTTAAGTCCTGAGTTATATAGTGACAGTGCATGCGGAGAAGAAGGAATTGCTTCTTTAATCAGCCACTTCTTAAAGCCACAGGTTAAGGGTGAGTGCTGATGAAGAAAGACTTACAGAACTGACCCCCTCAGCTAATAGGATTAATGAACCTTAATCATGGGTTTGCAGATTTCATATTCTTCCTAGCTGTCTCCCAGTTCTCGACAGCCCAGTTCTCCATGGCCTAGAGCTGTTAACATGTTAGCATGCAACGGCAGCAGTAACATTAAATGAAATTCCCAAATACCTGCTTTTTGACTATTACCTGTCTGTGTGGCTAGGGTCTATGCAACCCTGTCTCTTAGAAGTGACATTCATACACCACTCAATGGTTCTACCAAATACATAGCAGAGGACACATAATCACTGACATCCCACAAGCACTTCTGAAGAACCATACAGACAATGGTCAGCATCATTGCAATGTCTGTGGCTGGCCACTGCCTGTAATTTTTTATATGTGCTAAGTAGAGCTGTGTGATAAATTGCTGCCACCAGTAATTTGGTGCCTCTTCTTAATCCACACCAGATTTGTTTTACACAGCCACAGAGCTTGTTATGCCAGTGTGCTAAAAGCAAACTTGCGTTATCCTCCAACACTGAGGGAATTGTTGACAATGCCACATCCAGTGGTGCCAGCAGCCGTAATTCTGTACGCACTGTGCATACACTTTCTTCAATGATTCAACATCCTATCTTGAAAACAAAATTGTGAAAAAAGCAGCAGATTGTGTCTTTGGGTTTTTTTTTACTGATGAATGTGCCGAAATGCATGTTTTGGCTGTGTGCACTCACCATGATGCAATCTGGTGCTCAACTGTGATGCTAGCAACATTGTGTTACTTACCCTGTGTGCTAGCAAGCAAAGGTCGTTAGACATGAACAAATGAAAACTTCTGAGCAAGGGTGGCAGTACAAGTACAGAGTCTGCTAACATTACTGCTGCTAACATTACAACATCAGAGGCTAGCAACCAGCTAAAAATCCAGGGATACATCTGGTAGGAATACTACTTAATTTTCTCGTCTGGCCTTTTTATTGTCTATTGTTGCAGCTTGGTTTGGACTTTGTGTTACGTAATGTCGCTGTATATTTTTTTATATGTAACTGTTGGTGTTGTTGCTGTGATGCTGCTGCAAAATGAGAAAATACTTTGTCTGCTAAATGCCTGTACGTTTCTCTGGGCAATATTCTGTGGATTATATTGTATTCTATTATTTTGCTGGTTGATGTTGTGAGGTCTGTTGGCTTGTCTTTGAAATGCACATGGTAGGCTAATCAGAGTTTTATGGTGGTGTTGTGTCGGTAACATTAAAGTTAATCTCCTGTTGGCTCACTGAGTAGACTGCATATGTCCATGTGTGGAAACCTACATGTTAAAGGTACCCTACAACTGGGCGGGTGGTTCCTGTGCATACTCTGAAATATAATTCTGCCGGCGCCACTCGCCACAACAATTGTGAAGTGGTTTAGATCTCAAAAGCTACAAAGCGCAGATTACGACAGTCTGCAAAATTTGCCATCAGTCGGTGTCAGCCAAGAAGGTAAACGCAATAAATTGAGAGTTACGAATGTAACTTAGGTTTTATGAATTCTTAATGAACGCCACTTCAGTAACCTGAAAAGGTATCATCCCAGTCACCATGCCATTATTTTATTATATAAGGCAAGGTAATTTGTATTGTTTTGTTTCGGCACATAAAGCATATTTGGAAAGGTAATTGTTTACATTTACATGTTCCTCAACATTTTAATTTATTACAAAACATTGTCCAAACCAAGTCTTGTTTCAGATAGATAGATAGATATAGCTTGGTTCCAGACCATAGACCCCGCCCACTCAACTGAGTAGGCTTGCATCTCTGGTCTGGCATACTGCAATGAATTTGCGATTTATCTCATCCAAACGATGGACGGACCAATGAACGCCGGGGGTGGGGGTGGGTCTAGCGATTAGCCAATCAGCGCCACGCTGATGTCAAGCTGTACGCCGGTGGGTAACTAGTGAGGATAGCAACAATGGCGACCACTACAGATCCTACAGACCACATTAACGATGCTATCGAGGTACTTCGCCACTACTCGCGTTAATGGAGGACCATATTAAGGAAGCTGCTAAACTGGATTTAACGGCGATG